TGAAATAATTCATCCATCAAGGTGGAACCTTGATAATTACAAAAATTAATTTATTGTACCACATTGTGTTATTGTTGTGTTATTACCTAATGCTAATGTCCAACGTGATAGGTACTAAAAAAATCGGAAAATCCTTCTCCAATTGGGTGTTCCGCAAGGCAGCGTCCTTGGTCCCATTCTCTATTCACTATCCACCGCAGACATTCCTTTCAATCCACAATTACCACATATACTGACGATAACCCCAGTATTTTAGCAAACCCAGACTAAAAATTTAATAACCTTCAAAAACCTCCAATACTGTCTCTCCTCTTTAAAAATTTGTGCAACAGACGTATGGTCAGACTTAAAGAAACCAAATCTAAGCAAATAACGTTCATTTTTCTCCTTTACCCATCCGATCTACTACAATTCTGTTCCAGTTTCAACAACCAATATATACCAGTATTCGAGATTGATAAAAGACTTACCTGCTAAAACGACTATCTGACAAAAGATTTACATCTAAACATGATTTCATCCAAGTGTTCCAACCTCCAAAGAATCCTCTCGCTAGACCAAAATCCTTCGAAACCATTAGGCATGCTTCTTACATCGTAACCAACTTTATTATCCACACCAAACTTTCTCATTTATCCTTGAAACCGTAAGAAACAGAAACCTTCATAAAACCCTGGACCCTCATCCCAACCCCCTAGACTAACACCTTATAACCCAAACCTTCGCTATTTCATCTGTACTGAAAAGAAAATTGTTATACTAGGAATGTAATTAATGAATTACTTCTCACGTTCTAAAATTCCTACAATTTAATGAATAAAGCATTTAGCTTAAACATAACTTAATGTTTTCCGCTATGAAGTTAGAGAAATTTGTCTCCAGGCGTTTGTAAAAAAATTAACTTTCTTCTTTACAATTAAGCTTGAAATAATGATCTTTCCAGAAATATTTATGGTTTTATTTTACCTGAACCGTCTTTCGAGTGCAGTGTGCTTAGTGTAAACGGGGGAACTTGGCGCATCAAGAAGGCTATCGATTCGAGGTATATTTACGAACTTTGCCCACCCTTGACAAATCCACAAACTCCGGCCGGGCTAGTCGATCCCTGCGGCCTTTCCGTCAATGAAAATGGAAATAAGCGTAGACCGACACGAACGGGGTGACCGCACAGTTGAGCTTCGCGCTTCGATCGTAAACTTCCTTCGGCTTTTGAAGTCCTAGAAACGAACTCGAACATTAACAATTGTTGGATTCGAGAAGAGCGGTCAAGAACGAGGTAGTTTAGAAAAACACCATTTTCATTTTTTTGACGACGTTTCGACCTTTATTCTGGTCATCTTCAGGGCAAAGGGTGTGGTGGCATATTAGTCTTGTTAAAAATCATTAACTTTAATAGAAACCCATTTATGTTTAGTGATCTAATTGACCATATTAATTATTTCAATTAATTACTCTTTCTATGTAAGGTCTTGGTTGAGATGGAAAAGTTGGTGTCACGAGCGGGATTCGAACCCATGACGGCTGGGTTCGAATCCCGCTCGTGGCATTAACTTTTTTACCTCAACCAATACCTTACATAAAAAGAATAAATAATGAATACTGCCAAATTGTACAAAGTTTATCTTTAAATACTAAAGTAATCTAAATTTTAATTTATATTTGTTTAAGTTCTTCGTGTTAAGTGGCCTCGGAGGATGTGAGTCGGAGAAGAAGGGTCATCCTCACCCGATTAAGAATAGGCCATACGAGGTAGACACACGAACCTGAAGTAAGTACTTCAGGCCCTAAGCCCGCGTATGTATCCGGCATACAGAGAAAGCTTTGTTCAACGTGTTCCACCTAATTGATAGATACAATTCTCTGGCTCCATGCAGACTGCGCGCAGGAATGCCACTCGATTTGAGAATTATTCTTGAGCACGGCAGAGAGTATTTCGGTCCTCTGTTCCGATTTTTATATAAAATGGGACTGTTTTAATGTTGGTTTGACCTAGCTGTTGACAGCACCCCCCTCCGGAGCCCTCTCAGGTGGCTGGACGGATAAGACTAAGGTCCCAGACTGCCAACACTGGGCATAGGATTCATTCTCAAGTATATAGTAATAATAATTGTTCATACCTAGGTTGTGTTGAAAGTGAATGCATTTATTAGCGTGAATGTGTGATGTGAGAGAATCTATAGCGGAATATCGAGTACCCATCGATACTCAATTAGGTTTAGTTGTATGATATTTGTAAAGGGTGATGGATGAATATCGAGTACTCCGGCACCCTAACTGAATGAATGGTGTGTTAATAGGAGTGAATGTAGATGAAGATGAAACGAATGGTTTTGGAACTGCATGCGTTGGGTGCTGATTTGACCTAGCTGTTGACAGCACCCCCCGGAGCCCAACCCGGCTTTAAAACTAAGCCCTACGGACTGCCAACACACGGGGTGGGTAATATATTGGAGTCTGCCGGCACTTTACTAAAAATAGCAAAAGTTTGAATTCCCGGTGTACTGCGAGAAGCGCTTAGGCTCAACGCGGCACATATTTTATTTAATTATGTTCATATGCGGATTTGAGCCGATCTAAAACCCAAATTTTCATGTTAAGTTTATAAATGCACATATTGACACTGAGTAAACTTAAAACGCGGTTTACCGAAAGAGCGAAAACATGCGGACCAGGATTCTCGAGATCGACCAATGAATTCACGAAGAATAGCGGGGGTTCCCTTTATACATTTATTCTTTAAAAAAAGATACACTTCTATTTGACGTAGGATCATGTATTACATCAGCAAATTATAATCAAATAATATAAAACCAGGACTACTTCACAATGGAAAGTCCAAAATTTGCACGGCTGTTATAAAAATTCGACCTAGCAAATATTTTTTTTTATTTGTACCAATAATAAAGTGCAGTTTTCTCCTGAAAGTATGTTTGATCGTAACAAAAAAAAAACTGCACAATTTTCTTCACAAAATTCAGATGTTGACGACCGTCGTTTTCAATAAACCTGGTCTACCTACTCTCGCTGGGTCATTAAAAAAAATTTTTTATGATGATGAAATATAAAAATAAATAGTTGATGAACGAATGAAATTTGCTGCTAGAATTTCATAACCTACTTTAACAATGTTTCTTGTTTGCCCAAGAAATTTCTCGGATTAGAAATTATTGGTTCGATTGCCTAACCTCCAAGGACTAGGTCAACTGTGACAGTTTAATCTCGCCTTGAAGGACTTTTTAGATAAAGAGCTCTGGGTCTTTATTGTCCCAACTTGAGAAAACACTTAAATCATCGAAAAAACACTTAGATACTTGTTTTTCCTATTTTGAACTGGGTGTGAGCGCATTAAACTTTCAGCTTGTTCGAGTGCCTGGGGCTGCCCGTTTTATGTTTTACTTCTCAAATATGCCAGTTTGTCATACGTTCAAAATTGATTAAAAAGAATCATAACCAGTGGGATTTTTAATCAGGTTCCTTTTCAATTGTCCAAACCTCAAAATTAGAGCGGCCACAATTTACCAGTTAATAAATCACCCTACCTCACTCCCGAATGGATAAAGTAAATTTTGTTCACACGCAAATTGAACTTTTATCAATTGGATATTAAACCAATAGAAGAGTTAGATTACAGCTTACTGGACTAAAAATAACTTCTGAACACTTCTAATATGGAATGTAAACGAAATTAAACTCTTCTAACCTTGTCCCAGATGATCAATTTGGCTTCCGCGTTAAAGACGGCACATCCTCCTTCCCTTGAGGACAAAGAATATTGTAAGCCATAAAGTATTTGACGATGTGGAATGTAGTCAGTTATTTTTTAGTTTACAAATCCCTCTACTTAATCCACCACTTATCCATCATGGAGGTCTTTTGGAATACGACAAGGATTATATGACGACTAGTGTCCTCTGGCTGCGGGGTTCCACAGGGCAGAGTGCATTGACCAATCCGTTATAAAACAGTCCTAATTACACCTACCACTTAAATTTTTTTTAACGATGACACGTCAGCCCTACCCCGATTCTATTGGACTTACTTTCTTGCTTTTTGCAGCCAGTTGAGCCTTTTAGGGTTTGTCTATTAGTCGTACTGTGGAACTACAGCGACAACAGGTGGTATAATGTGGTTAAGGTTCGGGACTCTGAAAAGGGCACCTCGTGTCCTCATCCAAGTCCCTTTCTCAGAATACGATTTGTCAAAATACGATTGAAAAATGGCTTGAAAAATACGATGGAATTTTTTTTTAAACAGGAAAACTTATAGAGTGAAAAATACCAAACGCGGTGGTACAAGCCTAAAAACTTTAATGAAAATTTACCAGAAAGTTAAGGGTTCAAAGGTGTTTTCAGTTTCATGTCTTGCAAAAGCAAAATAGCCTGTTTTTATTTATAGGAATCAGTTTATTCACATTCGACAAGGTTACACAAGAAAAAGTGAGATCGTATCACCCCTACTTATATCCTTGACATTCCATCTTTTGCTTAAAGGAACCCTCTTCAAAAACTACTCGTAAAATAATAAGGCGAGAAAGGGGGCGCCGGTGGCCGCAACGGTTTAGGCGTTGACACGGCGCTCATCACTGCAAGGTAAAGGTCCTGGGTTCGAATCCAGCGGCCCTGCATTCGAACCCGACAAAACATAACTTGGTCAAAAATAATACAAAAAACTCAAAACTTGTTCGACAAAACCTCGGATAATAATTAAAGAATAGAGCAAGTTAATCTTATCACAGGTCAATAGTAAGGTCCACAATGACTCAATTCTTGTCATAATAGAACACAGTACATAAACCATAAAATCTAGTAAAAGTATATAAAAATAAACAACCTTAGAAAGGAAATTAATATTTAATTATTCAATAGTCTAGATTTTTCCAGCTTGTAATCTTGACTATAAGGTCATTTCTGATCACTGGCATATTAGAAAACTTCAATGAAATATAGTCCGGATGGAAAATTTGTCTTTTGATTTGTAAAAATTAAGCAGTAAGAACTTACTTGGAATGAGTCGACGTGCCCATGGGCTTCAGCTTGACGGGTGGGCTCCCACCTTCCAGCATAATAGTATCACTCATCCCCGCTCTGAAAAGATAAAACCGAATGTTAATTGTAGTTGTGAAGTGTTAAGTTGTAAGTAGGCAATGCGGAGAAGTCCTAATGGGCTCTTAAATCAAGCCCAGGAACCTCCTTTAAACACAAGACCTGTCTGTCGTCTGTTTCCCGACTTGAATTGTCGAAATAAAAAATATAACAAAAATATAAACATCCAACATGTATAATCTTAATCATAAAATGGTAATTTTGGTGGTTTTCAACTGATTTACATACTTTTCCTTGGAAAAATTTACTTTTCATATACATAATAAAAATTTAAAAAATCATAATTACTAGTTTGTCTTTATTGAAATAGGATGTTGAGTGGTTTAGCAGTTTAAATCTCGATTTCATTTTTTTAATTTTAGTTTTTCCTCCGTACTCTTCACTTTTTTACAGATTTTATCTTCTTTTTTCTCAACTTGAATTGTAAAAATAAAAAGTATAACAAACAAACATGCAAAATGTATAATCTCAATCATATAATGGTAATTTTTTAACTGATTTACATATTTTGGCATAAAAAAATTTACCTGACATTTAAAAAAATTGATAACTATGAGTTTGTCTTAGATGAGACGGTGTCGAGTCGTTTAGCACATTAAATTTTTTTCAGTTTTTCCTCCGTACCCTTACTTCTAACACATTTTAGCATTTTATATCTCAACTTAAATTGTAGAAATAAAAAGTATAACGACAAGATAAACTTACAAAATATGTAATCTTAATCATAAAATGGTAATTTTGGTGGTTTTCAACTGATTTACATACTTTTCCTTGGAAAAATTTACTTTTCATATACATAATAAAAATTTAAAAAATCATAATTACCAGTTTGTCCTCGTTGAGACAGGACGTCGAGTGGTTTAGCACTTTAAATCGCGATTTCATTTTTTTAATTTTAGTTTTTCCTCCGTACCCTTCACTTTCTTACAGATTTTATCTTTTTTTTCTCAACTTGAATTGTAGAAATAAAAAGTATAACGACAAGACAAACATGGAAAATGTATAATCTTAATTATATAATAGTAATTTTTTAACTGATTTACATATTTTGGCACGAAAAAATTTACCTGCCATTTAAAAAAATTGATAATTATGAGTTTGTCTTCGATGAGACGGTGTCGAGTGTTTAGCACTTTAAATTTTTTTTCAGTTTTTCCTCCGTACCCTTTACTTCTAACACATTTTATCTTTTTTTGTCTCAACTTGAATTGTAGAAATAAAAAGTATAACGACAAGACAAACATGGAAAATGTATAATCTTAATTATATAATTGTAATTTTTTAACTGATTTTCATATTTTGGCAGTAAAAAATTTACCTGTCATATACATAATAAAAATTTAAAAAATCATAATTACCAGTTTGTCTTCGTTGAGACAGGATGTCGAATGGTTTAGCAGTTTAAATCTCAATTTCATTTTTTTAATTTTAGTTTTTCCTCCGTACCCTTCACTTTCTTACAGATTTTATCTTTTTTTTCTCAACTTGAATTGTAGAAATAAAAACTATAACAAGACAAACATGGAAAATGTATAATCTTAATTATATAATAGTAATTTTTTTAACTGATTTACATATTTTGGCAGTAAAAATTTACCTGTGATTTTAAAAAAAGATTGTATGAGTTTGTTTTCGATGAGACAGTGTTGAGTGGTTTAGCACTTTAAATATTTTTTATTTCAGTTCTTCCTCCGTACCCTTCATATCCAAACACATCTTATCATGTCAAGAGCCAAACAGTAATTAATATACAGATTATTCGTTTTATAATTGTTTCTGTTAAAAATGGAAAATAGAGGAAAAGAAACTGCATTCAGGAAATAAACAGACTTCCAATCTTTATTCAGCGGAACCTAATCGTAATCATAAAATGGTATTTGTTTTTTTTTTTTAACGGATTTACTTATTTTGTGTTGAAAAAATTTACTTTTCATATACATAAGACTTTAAAAAAATAATAATTATGAGTTTGTCTTTAAAGAGACGGAGTGTCGAGTGGTTTAGCACTTCAAATCGGGATATCAATTTTTTTATTTAATTTCAGTTTTTCCTCCGTACCCTTCATATTCTTACACATTTAAGCAATTTTTTTGCTTAAGTTGAATTATAGAAATAAAATGTATAACGCGGAGCCGAGTGGTTAGCGTGAGAGACTCTCGGCTCGTAGACCCCGCGGTCGTGGGTTCAATTCCCGCCGTCGCGTCTGGCCTTTTTTTCACGATACCCTTCCCACCAAAACGAATTCGCATAATATGCATAGAACATAAAGCCTTTTAAAAAATGGCTTTTTTTAAATAATAAAATATTATGACTGTGTTGTTATTTTTAAATAAAGACTGATCATCTCACCCAGCACAAGCCATTAGGCTTTTGGGTGAATGTCTGTATAAATACCATATCTGTAAAATTGTAAATTTTGTTAATTGGCAAAATGGCAAAAATAAATAAAAGTTTGGATGAGAAGACTAGAAGAGCCATAGAGTGGAAAAAAAACAAACTTACAAATCAAGTTATTTACGTACAATTTATATTAAAATTTATATGATAGGTGACTTTCTCTTGTCGATTGATGGAAATAGTTTATCACACCGTTTTTTTTTCCATCCCTAACCACCCCAAGGCATTATAGGTATTTGTGGTATATTATAAAAACACTAATTAATCTCCATAACTTTTTATTGTCTAAATATGCAAGAATGCACCACATTGAAAGGAAATGTTTTGTGTTCTTTTTGATATTCTTTGGAACTGTTGGCCATTTCACGACTGGAAACTAGAGAGAAAACGCATCTCCTGTCAAAGCACCAGCTTTTTTCTGCGTATCTTTGTTCTTAATAGAAAAAATACGCGAAGAAACTGTAGAAATCAAGTCCTTAAACATCTAACTCTAAATTATCTTATTAAAAATAAAATTAATTATTTTAGCTGGTCCTATAACTTCTTCAACATAATTTAAAAAAAACAAAAAAACATCCGATTTGTTCATTTGCTAACAAGCATGCTTGAGTTACTAAAAGGGATTGGTTCTGATGTTTTGCCTGCATAAATAATACGATTGCATCTCGATTGATAGGAATTCCTGTAGAGTATACTGAAAAGGTAATGGGACCAAGGATGTTGCCTTGAGGAACACCTGCTTTGGTATTAGAGTTGGGAACTTAAAAACCCCAATATTTGTCCTGTTTCTTCATTGTTTCTGTTTGTTTTTTTTGTTTGTTTTTTTCAATTCAGCCAATGTGACAACTTATTCGTTTTTGTAAAGAACTTTTTGGTTTTTTTTTTATATTCTTTGGAACTGTTGGACATTTCAGGACTGGAAACTAGAGAGAAGATGTCTTAACAGGTCAAAGCACCAGTTTTTTTCTGCTTATCATCGGGCTTAACAAAAAAAAAAGATGCAAAGAAAACTGGAGAAATCAAGTTCTTAAACATGTAACTGATTGTCTAATGTTATTAAAAAATAAAATTAATTATGTGTTTAGCTTCAACTTAATTTTTAAAAAAGGTAGTAAGAAGCGATCGGTTCTGTTTTTTTTTTTTTTCTTTTTTAAACGAGGGTTAACCATGCAACAGCAGAGATTATAAGCAGAGGTTTTATAAGCCGTTGGATTCGAACACGGGACCTTTACTTTACAGTGATGAGCGCCGTGTCAATGCCTAAACCGTTGCGGCCACCAACGCCCCCCCCCCCATACCGTTATTTATATCTTATATTATCTCTCGTACCGGAAAAGGGTTAAAACATGATAAATAAAAAGTTACGATTTTTCCTTCTTTGACATTAAAGCCCGTTCAACAGTTGACTGAAGCAATGCAACTTGTAACACTGGCATTTCCTGAGAAGCGGAATGCTTAATTGCTCGCCGGAGGCACCGACCCGGAAATTGGATCGGGATAGAGACGTAACAGGTAAAAAGGTTCAAAACGAGTCAAAATGGTACATGGAATTTGACAGGTCGGGATTATGTTTGTTCAGTGTCCTTTGAAGTCAACTCGGGGGTCGGGCCATTGTTGCCTTTGTCTTTGTTCCATTAAAGGTTAATTCGTTCTTCTTTTTTCTTTTGGGTCACGGGACATGACTTTCATAAGAAACATTAAAAGATATTGGCCCGCTCGTTGATGACATCCCTGCTGAAGATGCAGAAAAGCACATAACCGAAATAAAGCGATAACAGGCGGACCCATCAAAGATATTAGGATAATTAGTTTTTCAGCTCACATATTTTTTATTGTTTACTCAAATTAATTAACATAATATACAATATAAAATAATATACTAGTTTAAAAAAAATAACATAAGCATAAATTATTCCATTTAATTATCCAGATTTTATGGAAAAAAAAATATAATTGAATTTATTTGACCCCGAATTATTATATTTTCATTAAAATAAAAAAATTAAATTAAATCCTGCCTTATATTACAAAAAAAGCTATCCTGAGAAAAAATACAAGAATTATTTTGTTGATATTTTCATCTCTTAAATATTTAGATTATTCAGAAATCGTGAGATGCGGTCTGGTGTGACGTAGGATTCAGAAAAACATTTTCTTTATCGTGCCAACGTTTCGATCTTTATCGAGATCATCATCAGGGCCTGGGATTCACAAACATTGTTTAANATATTTTTTTATATATTCAATCAAAGTATTTCTACTCATTCAAAGTGTTCGTTTTCTGCGTAATTATATATGTATTTGTTAAATTTAAAAAATGTTCGTAAATCCCAGGCCCTGAAGATGATCTCAATAAAGATCGAAACGTTGGCACGATAAAGAAAATGTTTTTCTGAAACCTACATCACACCCGACCGCGTCTCACGATATCTGAATAACTCTGGTGATGATTTTGAACAATTTTGATTGAAAAATTTTCTATCTTGAATTTACCAGAACAAAAATTATAGGAAAAGTCTCGTATCAGGCAATAAATAGGGAATTAAAATTTCATGATCTTAGTACGTACCTTTATCGATTTAGAAGTAAGAAGGACAACATAATTCCCCCGTCTACCTTCTTGGAATAGCCTGTTTTGGTCGTTTCGTTGCGAAAAATCAAAAAATTACAGGGAGAGAGTGAGAGAGATGTCTTTTTGGTTTATACATTCTCTCTCTCTTTCTCTCTCGCTCTCTCTCTCTCTCTCTCTCTCTCTCTCTCTCTCTCTCTCTCTCTCTCTCTCCGCCCTCCCTAATCCCCCTTGGGACACCTTTCGGGTTAATTTTACAAGAGCGGGCGCTGAGCTGCCCCTCGGCGTAATCCAGTCCATTTGCATAATCTCCGGCTGCAAACTGTTGCTTTCAGCGGCCGGCGTTGAAAATGGCCTCTGGTCTCCTTTTTTCATAAATTTTGTAAACCTAAGCAACAGCATGACGATTCCTTTTATAGAAAATATGCAAGATATATAAAACATAACCCTTGACTCGTAATGTTAATAATCACAAGTATCCAAATAAGCAAGAGTAATGACGAACTGGAAAAATCGTAATAAATCTATAATTTAAAAGTAAAACAATAAACTGATTACTATTTGATTTTCACACAGGAAAATATTATTTTTTCGTAGAAAGCCCCTTCAATTAACATGACGGTTTAAAAGAAACATAGTTCAACTTTTGTTCACTATTCACACTATATTATTTATTTAAAGTAATTGTAAATTGTGATGTTAAAAGGTTGACTGAAACGACAAAAATGTCTGCGACAATCCTTTGGGTGTAAAAATATAACTCGCCCTTTGTTTAGCCTGGCAATAAATTTTCCCCCAAGGGGTTCTCGCCCTTTTCTAGAAAACGGTATACGAATCGTGTGGATTTCTTTTCTGTTTGTCCGGGTTTTGTTGTCTTTTGTCCAATTCTTCGTTTGCCCCGTTGTTTAAATATTGCCAGGTGGCAATATTTGATTCTATGCTGTCATTGTGATATTTCAATATAGACCTGATCACATTTCCATTGTGTTTTTATCATTTATCATTAGCATTGTTGCAATATTAAAATGTTATGAAAGACAAAGAATTAAGAATAAATTACCAATGTTTTTAACATTTTATTTGGGTGTAGAAAAAAATTAAGACGAAAGAGAAAATCTTAAGGATAGATCTATTTTAATCGTTCTCTCTACCTTTACCACTTTTTTCACCTTTGCTATCACTTCCTCTTTTCTTTTATCACTTATTATTTCAGCTTTTCTTTCCTTTATTAATTCTATCTCTCTTCTCCCTTTCTCTCTTTCTCTCTCTCTCTCTTTCTCTCACACACACTTTAAGTTTTCTCACATCTTATCTCTCTTTTCATTCTTTCTCTTTTTATTATCACTTTAGCCTCTGTTTTTATTTCTTACGATATCTCTGTTTGATTTTACTTTTTTCATTCTTACTCAATTTTGTTGTATTATTCTTACGTCTCTTTCATATGCTCGTTACTGACTCCACCTCTTCCCTTTATAACTTTGAAATTATTTTTAGTTTTACTACTTTTTCATTTGTTTTGCCTGTTATTCTCTTTAACTCTGGTTCTTTATCTGTCTGTGTCTCTCCTTTTCCTACTCTTTTCATAACTGTCAATTTTTTGATATCCCTGGTTTTCTCTCTTTATTGTTTTTTTTGTCATTTTCTCCATCTCTCTCTCTCTCTTCCTTCCTTTCTTCCTCTCATTCTGCCTTGTATACTTCTTTTTTCCCTTTACTGTCACTACCTCTCTAATTCTATTCCTTTCTATTTATCCCTGTTTTTCTATCTATATTTTCTTTTTCTTTGTCACTCGCTTCCTCTTAGTTGAATTTTGTTAAAATTGTATAATTTAACATGTAGGTTTAATTTACCTATATTTATTATGTTCTTGGTACTTATATTTGATTTTTTGAACATTTTTGTTCGTTGTCCTATTTCTCTACCTTTCCTACTCCCTGTTACTTTTGTCCTTTCTTCCTCTTTTTCTGCCTTGCCTACTTCTCTTTTCTCTTTGCTGTCACTATCTCTCTAATTCAATTCCTTTCTCTTTATCTCTGTTTTTCTGTCCATCTTTTTCTTTGTCCCTCGCTTCCTCATACTTGACATTTGTAAAAATTTTATAATTTAACATGTAGTTTAAGTTTAATTACATTTATTATGTTCTTGGTATTTACATTTATGTTTTTTGGTTCCTTGTACAATTTTCCTTCTGCTATTTCTCACTTTCTATCTTTCTATTTCTCCTTTTCCTCCTCCCTTCCTGCCTTGCCTACTTCTTTTTCTCTTTAATGTCTCTATCTCTTTACTCTTATTCCCTTTTCATTTATTTCCATTTTTCTGTGTTTTTCTTTTTCTTTGTACCTCGCTTCCTCATACCTGAAATTTGTGAAAATTTTATAGTTTAACATGAAGGTTAAGTTTAACTATATTTATTATTTTCTTGGTACTTATATTTATCTCTGTTTGTAAACATTTTTTCCTCTCTGACTACTTCTTTTTACCTTTCTATCTTTCCAGTTTTCTATTGTTTTGACTTTTTATTAATCTCTGTTTTGGTCCCAATATTTTGTTTATTGTTTTCACTCTCTTTCTTCCTTTCTGTTTTATTCTTTTTCTCTTTACGATCACCCTAGCCCTGTAATTGTTATTACTTTTTTACTCATTTCTGTCTATGTCTGTTTGTCTGCATCTTTTTATCTTTTTCACTGTCCTTTGCACCCTCATCCTTGAATTTTGTGATGATTTTATAACATATCGTGTAGATTAAGTTCAAACTAGGCACTAGCCGGTTTATATATTTTTTTACATTCCATATTTTACGGTTTTGTTTCTAAATTTTTCGGTTTTTTTATAGGATCTAGGATCAGATGTGGTTAAGACCAGTGGTTTGTGCTACTTAAAGGCAGCGTCTTGAAAGAGTCCTGCTTTGATCCTGGATAAGGTAATAAACATCCTTACCATAACATCCGCGTATTACCAGAAGTGTCTAACTCTGTATCTTGTGTTTGTGTGTTTTTTTTTAATTTTGTGTTTATAAGAAACAGAACTTTTTAGCAAATAAATGATACATTTTTTAAGTTCTACATATTCATGTTGACTGAATAGGATAAGTCAATTGGCCCTTTTCTCGAGATTTTATGGGTGTAGAAGTATAGCCTTTTACGTTCAGTTTCCGTTTGGCAAATTCTATGCGCGGTTTGATTGATGTGAAATTATACAACGTTAGTCTTAAAAAAGACGACTTATGAACAGTCCTGGCACGTACAACCGAGAAGAAAGTTTATGTCGGAGTAAGTTTAACCATGGTAGATCAAATTTTACCATGTTGGAAATCATGTCCTTGATTCCTGACGAAATTTTCAACAATATTTACAGAAAAAGCTTAAATAATATTTGTAAACTTTACCACGTTATATATTGAAAGATATGCGATGATTTCGTTAAAGTAGATACATAAATTTTCGTCTGATCATTACATCGAAGATGGGAATTTTATGTTAACTTTTTCCCTGAATCCAGCGTCATTTCTCGAACGCGTTTATTCAGTGAGCGCTTGTTATTTTTTTCTTCCAAAATTCTATTCTGAGGATGGAAACCTGATAAACGACTGGGACAATGAAAGGCGACGGTGAAAAAAACCAGCCTCGGGTGTGGGGAAACATATCAAATTTATGCCTCGGGGGAGAACAAACGGAAGTTGCGTGTTATTTATCAGCCTGGGCTTAACGCAAGCACGCCACCCTTTCGACTTCATCGCGGGCACAAGTGCCACCTCTTTTACATGTTTCAAAAGCATACTTCACAGGCTTTCTTGGGCAAACGCTATAAATTGCCATACTGCGTTAATAGACCTACAGTTAAGCAATAAAAAAAATCTCCAATTATCCAGGTACAATGAGTACTTAATTCTTAATACGTATATAATTTTACTTTTACTTGAATCTGTTTTATGTAGTTATATAGTCAGTGCATTGTGATAATTATACTAATGACTATATTAAATCCTTTCATTAAACATTTTTATATGTTTCAACAGTACAAAAATAACTTAGTTGTCTTTCAATTAATGAATCCTTTTATGTACGATTTTGGTTGAAATGAAAAAAGTCAGTGCCACGAACGAGATTCGAACCCAAGGCCGTAGGTTAATACACTGCTGCTCTACCACTTGAACTATCGTGACTTCGATCCATTCGGACACCAACTTCCCCACTTTTTGAATTTTCTCTCCTTTTTGCCATTTTTCACATTACTTAGTGTCCGAGTAGATTCATTGTAGGTTGGTACGGTTGGATCGACAGATCAATTTCGTACGTACAGATTGGTTTTAATAATAACTTGTAATATGGGGTTTTGCTTCGGAAATTTCCATCTGTTGTCTTCTGTTCTATTTTTAAATCTAGTCTAAGTAATTCTTTTCAAAGTAAAGTCACGTCTGAATTAGTGATTTTAATAGGTTGTAGTACTGAATATAGTATAGGGCCAAAGATGCTGCCTTGCGGAACACGCCCTTTGGCAAAGTGCTTCCAAGAAAAGGGGGGTTCGATATTACTCAAGTTTTTTGGCTTATTGTCGCTTGGACGTAGTGGATAAGGAAGAAAGTTATTCCGATTTGAGTATGAAAGAACTTACTGGACGTTTTTCTTTCTTCTTCTTACTTCTTTCGTATCCTTTTCTTAAGGAAACCTCCACTTCTGGGAAAGAATAAGGGCATCATTCCCACTCAAGGAAGAAGGAAATATTACCATACCAAGGCATAGTTAAATGGTAAAGTGGTGTCGTCTGAACATTGATTGGATAAAATGGCACTAGAATTTATAAAGGACTTTGCTTCCTAATCTCCTTCCTAACTGGATATTCAAGCTTTCAAGGATATTAATTCAAAATTCAATTATTGCATGTTAAAATTCTTATATAAGGAGTATTGAATCGGTATTGATAGGTCTGTAGTTTATACTGGCTATAGAATGGGATCAAAGATACTTCCTTGCGAAACACTCATTTTTAGCTTGTTGGATGGAGGGAAAAGATATTCTGATTCGAACATGAAAGAACTTATTGGACGTTTTGCTTTCTTATTCATACTTTCCTGAGAAATTTATCACGTTTAGGAAATCAACCGAGCCACATTTCTTCTACTCAAGAAGAATGAAATAATATCTATCAAACTGTGGCCTGGTGAAATAGTAAAGAGGTGCCACCTGAATTGACTGGATAGGATGAGACTGGAGTTTTTAAAACACTTTGCCAAGTAATTTCCTTCATAACTTCCTCTGGTCTGTCTTCACGACGATTAGGTCCCCCAAAACTGAGGCCATACTTTTTACCAGGCGTCGTCCTATCTTTAGAAACCAAGAATCTGTTAACAGCTTGCAAATTATATGGGATGAAAAAATCAAATACTTAGGCGTTATTTTGGACAGCAAATTTCTCTAGTCAAGTAAATGAAATCATAAAAATTGGGAAGGTGGCTACGAGGCACCTCTTTTCGATTTTGTCCAACATCTCTGTACTCAATTTCAATAATAAACCCCTCTTTTACAAACTTGTGGTAAAACCTGTCCTCCTTTGCGCCTGCCCCGCCTGGAATTACGCCTCTAACTGGAAAAAGTTACAGTGCGAACAAAATAAACTTCTGAGGCTGGTAACCTCTTCGAGCCGCCTCACTAAAATTAGCCTCCTCCACGATAGTTATCGTCATTAGCCATAAAACATGAGATTGATATACGACGAAGCTAAACGACTCACTGAAAACGTTTTCAATAAACTGATAGAGCACAGAAATCCTACATGCCAAGAAATTGGAAGATACCCTACGAATTCCATTTGTAAGGACAGGAGAATATAACATAAATTAAACTAATAATCAGGCTAAAATGTAGGTAAAGATGTGTATGTGTGTGCGCCTGTACATTCTAGTAAATTTTGTATACGAACATGTATATAAATTTACATACTTTGCATATTAGAAATGATGAATGATGGAGTGAGTGTGGTGTTCAATCCTTTTGAAAAAGATTGTTTTGCAACGATCCGGATTTCGAGCCCTTTAGCTCATCATCAGGTTGAAGGATTTGTTTCTTTTAGATGGTGGATGGACACTTGCCTAAATCTAGCAAATTTTCGGAATTTAAGGACCATCTAAAAGAAACAAAAAATAATTTCAATTCAAATTTAAATACAATAGCGTTACATAGTTTCAACAAAGGGAGAGAACTAGATTGATTTGAGAAATTTGCAATTAAAAAATGTAAAATTGAACATGGTGATAAATGCATTAATAATAAAACACATTTTGATCTACCTCCCATTTTAAATATGTACATAAATAATATTAAACGCCGAAATAATTAAATTAATTATTTTAATTGTTATTATTATTATAATAATTGAATATTATTAAGATATCATTCTAATTTTGTATCTTTTATCTTTAATCACTAATTTAATTAATTTCTTACAGTATTTACTTTTTGTGTGTGTTTTTGATGATGTTTTTGAAAAAAAAGCCCATTTGTAAGTATGTCGGGTACAATTGCAGGGCCGCTGGATTCGAACCCGGGACCTTTACCTTACAGTGATGAGCGCCGTGTGAACGCCTAAACCGTTGCGGCCACCGACGCCCCATGCATTTACTATTATAATATTTATTTGTTATAATTCCCGCTTTTCGCACGGTCAAATTGAGCGCCATTAAAAAACCAGCTTCTCATTGGAACGTCGCGTTGGCGGGGGTATCAGCGGGTTCACTTTTGCAATTCATGTCGACAGACGTGGTTGTAGAAATCCTTCAAACTGATGATGAGCTAAAGGGCTCGAAATCCGGACGTTGCAAAACAACTTACTGTGATTAGGAACTACTTTGCATATTTGTTTGATTATTATTATATATATATATATCCNCGACTGTTACTCTATCTTTGCATAATGGGCACCTTTGGGGTCGCTTTCCTGCTAGAAGGTGCCCGTGTGTAATCCTTGTATGACCTATGCGTAGTCTTGTCAGTATGACCTTTTCCCTTTTTGACCCATTTTCCGTGAACCAGGGACCGACGTCTTTCTTAACCTGCCACAGTTTGGCAGGGTTATTCCTATTTTGCTGTCCTATTGTTTGATTATTAATTTTCTAATTTATTCATGTATTTATCTTATTTGTTTTTTATTCATTTATTTACTTAAATATTTAATTTGACAAAACTTAAATTGATTATCCTATTTATTATGCCAAGTTACTGTTATATTTTATTATTTTTATGTTGTTTGTGCATATCATTTACCCCTGTGACATCGCTAAAGCTACTCAATCTAATATGTACCTGATTTCATTTTGCTTATACCTTTTTTGAGGGTTTTTTGTAATTTTCTACGAGTACAATATTGTTAAATAATTAGACTCGGGATCAAATAGATCAATTATTGTAACGGGATGTAATAGTGCCCCGCCACTTCCCCTAAATTTGAAGGAATGTGTTATATGTAAATTTATTACAAATAAATCAAATCTATTTATCTATCATGATTATCTATTAAATCTTTCACCCTTTCACTAAAGATTTTGTAATCTTAAATTTAATTCAATTAATTAAGGTTTTTAGTTAAGATAAAAAAAGTCATTGTCACGAGCGGGATTCGAACCCACGACCTTCGGCTAGATACGCCGTTACTCTACCATTTGAGCTATCGTGCCTTCGATCCACTCGGACACCAACTTCCCATATCAACGCCACCTTTTGAATTTTCCCGCCTTTTTGACATTTTTCAAATGTGTAATCTATTTGATTCTCGGCGACAAATGAAATGGTCACGTTGAGCTTTAGTGAAGTATACTTTATTTTAACTTATTAAATTCACTAGTTTTCGTGGTCCGCTTGACCAATTAATATCTTTAAATTAATTAAGGTTTTTAGTTGAGATAAAAAATTAAAATTAATAAATAATTAA